TTGACTGAAAGAGATCTTCATCTACTTCAAAAGACGAGATCTTTGTAGAGTCATCATTTTTAAAATTCTATCAGCTCTCATCAGCACAGTATAACGCCTAAATTTTAATGAAATCCTGATCTAGTTTGTTCAGTCATATCACTCAGTCTCCAAAACAAAAATCAGAAATGGCCAAATGCAGGAAGCAAAATGCAAGGTAAGTATCTTACATTCCACTGGACTGCCCTGAGACAAACTTTCAGGTTAGAAGGCACAAAATGTGAGAGTGCTTACTGGCACCATGCAGAAGTTGCCAGACAGCTGACTTCACTACCCGAGGTTTGAACGTCATTGCCACACTGTTTTGAAAAATAAAGGCTGGAAGTCCAAAGACGAGTGGCAGAAATCAGATCTCTGGTAAGGTAGCATAGGGTGTCCTTGTAACACCTGAATGGATCTGATAGCTGTGATCTGAATATCACTGGGGAAACCCTTAGAATTCAATAGCCCAACACAGCTCTAGTTTTCCATGCATCAGGCAGAGCTGGATAATTGCTGGTGCTACAAAGTTTGAATAACGAGTGATATAAAATAAACAAATAATAATGCCACTTTAGATGTTGGCTAGTCTGTATGCTAGACCTCATGGGCACACTGCGCAGAGTACCATAGTGCACAAGTATGACAGACCTCAGGGTTCTGACAATGCACTTCTATTCACGCACACTAAACCACCGCACAATTTGCAGTATATCCTTGGACCAATGTGCATCACACCAAAGTGTACCAGATCTCCCTCTCTGTGAACTGTATTAGTGGCTCATGTAGATGCACACCCATTGAAAATACGTACTCAGCAATGCCCTTCTCACTACTTCAATATCTCAAATTGCAGAGGAAGTTAAATGGCCTCATTCCCACTGCACAGTTCAGCCTCTGGAGACACACAATATTTTTTTCTGATACCTTACAATTGGTTTTTATTGTGTCCCAAGTATTGCAACTATTGTAAAATAAATTTTCTCTCCTTACTTGAGCATGAAGCACTCCTTAATGTTACTTTCACTTACGAAGAACAGCTTTTTACATCTTGCTCTCATAGCAGCTTTGACAGGTCCAGCTTTCCAGTTGACTGCTTCTCTATTCTGGCTGAATTGTGCTGCTGCATCCTCCAGATCTTGAAACCATTTGAATAATGAGTGAACCTTCCTACCTCTGGATCATTTAACCTCTCTTTTCCACATCTTTTCCACCAGTTAGACCAATTATCGTTTTCCTGAAGCCTGTCCCTCAACTCTCCTGTGCCTTCATATGGTAACACATACTTGTCAGTAATGTCTTGCATTGGCACTTCATGTTTCTTGAGTACTTAGGAATGGTTTGGTAAGTAATGAAAAACATCCTTAGCAAAAAAATCCCCTAGCTACAATTACCTAGCACTTCAGTGACACAGACTCTGTAAGATGAGGCCTGAATGCAAAAGCTTTAATTTTAACTCTATCTTCAGCCCTGGGTTAAACTATCATGCATAAAGTTGACATTCTTTCCTTTTTTCTGTCTTCATAGTCTGGTTTTCCACAGTGTGAGAAGGTTTGCCATGATCCTGACAGAGAAATTTTCCGCTGAACACTGTTTTTCTCAGGCCTTGTGCCCAGTTAGGCTTCTGCTTGTTGTTACCAGCAATAAGAAGCAAAAATAGTCACAGATCATTGTCAGACAGCTTCTGAAATATGTTTCCTCAACCAACTCCGACTAAAAGAGCAAAAACCGAATTTGCAGTGGGTCAATGTAATAAACTGTGAAGTCCCTAAAAAGAAATATCACTGATAAACATAGGTCATTTCAAAAGTGATTTAAAAAAAAGCCTATTTATTTCCATGGAAAGTGAAATAGATACAAAGTAAAGAAGAACACTGTTTGATAGAGCAAATTGTTATTAAATTATTCATTATTGTTTACTTTAACATTTAATTGTTAATTATTATTAAAATACAACACTACTATTTTTTCATCATAATCACCACCATTAGCTGTGCATTTTCACCAGCAGTGAAAAAGAGCCTGCATTTCACCCGTAAAAATCTGTAACGGTGGAGGTGACCCATAGTTGCTGTCACCACTGCTGGAATGCACCACCCACCACCTCACTGTGCTCACATCCACTGGTTGGTCTCCAGAAACATTCAGCAAGTATCAATGAATGTCAATGGGTGCAATTTTTTTTCTGCATGGAGTAATTCAATGACACACTTTTGCTTCATCCACACTTTCATATCAGACACCAATTTTATTGGACTGTCCCTCTACTGCCATCTGTCACACAGCAAAAAAACCAAAACGAGATAGTGTCAGGAAGGTTCAGTGTCTACTGCCATACCACCCACCATCTATCTTTGATGTCATGGGGCAACATAATAAAATAAGAGGCATTACTTTCGTGGCAGCTCTCATATATTCAAATACCAGCAATTTATTCAGTTTTCACTATTCCTAGCAACCTATGGTCCCAACAATTACACTTTTTTTAAGGAGCACATTCAACCTTTTTAACTTTACCACATTAAGATACACATTAACTGAAATGTCTTCAAAAAATACTTATTAAAAATACTCTTGACAAACGTAAAATATACCTTCTTAGAGATGGTAACAGAGAAAGCACTCATGGCATTGGTTTCTCAAGTCCTCAGCAGGATGTTACTTCTGCTGTGATCATCTACACAGGCATGCACATGCAAGACACAGGATTCTCCTACTCATGAGCCACAGAGGAATTTTCACTAATAATATCAAATGTCTGACATAGAGGTACTTTTCAGAATCACTCTCCTGGCAGTGAACAGGGCAAGCTGAACAAGAGACACAGCAAGGAGCAAATACATTAAGAATTGTTCTTTTTTTTTTTCCCCTCAATTTCAAGGAAAGTAATTTTAAGTCTTTCACAGTCTTGTATTAAACTGATATGTATTCTGTGTGCCTGCGTTTCACAGAATCTCATAGGTGTGGGACCTGATTGTCTCTACAGAGACTGTAACCTTCATGCAGCAGGTGGACTCTGACCTTCCTTTTGGAAACCAGTTTCTCTGATACCAGCCATTTCAGTAAGGCACTGTGTCAAAACACATAGACAGAAGTATCATTAAATGGCTTTCATGAATATTATATTTACTCAGGAAAGATAATCCACACTTTAAAACATTTTATTATATCAATGTGAAGTATTTGGCTTTGATAATGTTTGCCTTTTGTTGAAGAAATGCTATTTTCAAAAGTATTGCACGTTGTTCTACCTCGACTTTAAGAGGACAGTTTGGTTTAATTGATGTTTTAAGTTGTGCAGTTTGAAACTGAAACATTTTGTTCCTTACCTGCCTTTTTACAAGAATGTACACCTAAAACAGCTTTACCAAGCCTTTATCAGATTTTGGAAAGTCAGGGTGATTCCTTAGATCAGCATAGTCAGTTTCCCAAAATGATCATGACAAACCTTTAAGCCAGCATCAGTTCCAGTCAAGGAGAGACTTCACAGTGAGACAGTAGATCGACTGACACCAGCCATTTTAGTAATAGTCTGTGCCTATTTCCATGAACTCGGACAACGATTGCCACACAATCTTCTCAGTGCAGCTAATGGAAGCGTGTAACAGATAGGAGGAACGGGAATGTTGACAAGGACAAATGAACTCCAGTTTCCAGATATGAGCCAAGCTTTCAAAGCAATTAATGCTTTGATTAATAGCTAGTTATAGCTCCTGGAGATTTAGAAATACCAAATATAAATCTTAACATAGTACCAATAATAGACTGTGTAAATAGGGAGAAAAGAAAGCTGCAATGCTCCCACCCTCTCCACTCAGGGAGGATTATTCTGCCTATTATTAGGCACCTATTCATATTTACCACATCATTTCCTGATCATTTCTTCTCCTAAAATACTGAGTGATTCCGCTGCTTTATTCACCTTGCTTGAATCAATACAATTAGTCTTCATACCACACGATTACCCCAGCTGGTCTCCATTCAAGTTCATTCAGTGACACCCAATCAATGTTTGTTTTATGTCTCACTGTTAAGAGAACTCCATACACTGTGTATTTTTGTTGACAGACATAAAAGTCCATTAAATAACACTGTATCAGATTCTGTTGACTTACCTCTGACATTTTTTTTAAGAACAAGTCATTCAATTATTTGACATTGCTCTTCAACTCAAATATACTTGCAGTTTCTTACTTCTTGCTACAAACTCTTCACATGCTTTCTTGCTTTTCATAAGCAACACATCTAATGAACTCTGTCTAATTAACTAATTTTGCCTGACTAATGATGCAAATTTTCTCACAAAAATCGAAATGATTTTGAGCACAAGAGAAAGCAAGTTTTCTTAAACCAAAAATTAAAAGCTCAAATTAAAATGAATCCAAACAGAACAGACAGTTGTTCATCCATCCATCAACCTTAATGTTACCCTGTTGGAGCACGTCATGAGTTAAAAAAAAAAATAAAAATCAGATTTTTAAGAATATTTTAAACAAACCAGATAAGAAAGCATTATTTTGTGCAATCAAAACAGCACTATACCACATATTTAATGTTTGGAGCATGTCTTTACTCAAATTTGAATGTTTCCATTTCTCTTAATTTTACCTCTGAATTTCCTCATTACACACAACAGTAATGTTAACACTTCTAATTTACTAAGTCCTAATTTCAAATTTGCTGACCTATACTTTCAAATCAAAGCAATTCTACATAATGTTCATGGGCACCCTGTTGTTATTAGGCTAGGATTCCACTTTTTCTAACCGAAACTGTAATCTTCTTGGCAAATTAACCAATTAAATTACTATTCTACCTACATTCAGAAAGAAGAGTTCCCGAAAAAAAATGATGGTGAATACTACTGCATTTACATTTTTCTAAGTTCTTGGTCACTCTAAAGCAGCATAATATGAAAAGTTTCCCATGGAATATAATCTAGAGCAAAACAGACGGGAAAAAAAAAAAACTTTGTAACCTACCTCATATTCCCTGCCATAATGAGGAATAGATTATAAATGTGAGAGAAAATGAAGAGGAAGAGGATGGTACTGAAGAACATTGTCATCCAAGACCCGTGGTCCTCTCGAAACATTTTCAGACGGAGCAACTGACCTGTGGTATGGATATTATGAGAATATTATTTTAATAATATATTTTAGTCAGTCAGTAAATATGTGTTTAGATGATAACAAAAAAGAAAAGAAAAAAAAAAAAACCACAACGACAAAACAAAATAGTGTACCAAACTGAATTTCTTGTTACATCCAATAATTCCAGTTTGTGTGGGGAGGACAGGTTTAGTATCAGGCAGCCAAACTTGTCTTTTTTAATTCAGCCATGAACAGAGATTTTTCCTACAAAGCCACAAGGTTGTTTCCCACAAACTGATTTGGTGACAAACCAATTTAGATTCTGATTCTAGAGCCTAAATCATTAAACTGGACCTCTGAAGGAGTTCAGTTCACATCATGCCTGTGGTACCTGACTGAAAAGTGGCTGTGGTTTTATATATACTATATGCAATCCTACATGTTGGTTAAGCAGCCTTCATTATTTCCCTGCCCTGGCCATTAACACCTGTAGCCAGTCTACTCTCATGCTGGCAGAGCAGGTATGCACAAAGGAACAAGAGTAGTCTAGAAAAAATGATAATTCCATCTTTTTCTTCCAGTAGAATCAGTTCCATCACCCTGCTGACACTGAGACTCATTGAATAGCAGTGCTGTAAATCTGTGCAGAAGTGGGAAGGACTGATGGCCATGAAGAGCAGATGTGTAAAGTAAGTCATCCCACTTTCTAGAAACTGCTGCATCCTAACTTTCTAAAACAAACACCATAGCTGGGAAAATCTCATGGAATTAATCTAGAAATCAGTGTAAGAGACATCTTTTGCGGCATTTGAAGTGTTCTGAGAAACAAGTCTACAAATTGGGAGGCTTCATAAGAACTTCAGGCTGTGATATCTGTAATTTGCTGCCAGTTGTTTCTTGAGCAGTAGGAACAGTCATTAGATTTTGATGGTTGCCTCTCTCGTTCCACTGACTATTGATGAAGTTGGGTCCAATACAATGACATGATAATAGATAAATCATCATATGTGTTGGTCTAGCTCATGAAAAACACATAGACTAGAAGTGGAGGATTCAGGACATTTGACTCATGAGAAAAAGAGATTATTTTCTGAGCAGATGACTGCAGGGTCAGTTGAGAATTAAAGAAATTGCCTGGACTAAAGGGATACTACAGATACCATAAGAAAAGCCATCTCTTGAGTCAAAGACAACTCTTAAGCCCAAAAGTACACAAAAACATACAGCTAATAAATAAGCAAATAATCACCCCTCCTGGCAATAAAGTTGAGATTATCCTGTGCAAACCCACTGTTCCCCTATTTTGTGAGTACTGCCACCCATTTAATGGCAGAGCTGAAAAAGTCTGGATTTCTAGAAGTACATTGAAGGGTTTAGACCTCAATAATATGGTTGTTCAGCTGGAATGACCTTGCCAGTGATACACAGTAGGCAAATGCCATCAGATTTAGAATCCAAATTCTACTTTCTCATCATTTTACAAACAAATCTTTTACTATGAGCTCAAATGGAAGACGGTATTATCCTCTTTCTTACACTGTTGACTTTTGTTACATGGTACCACGACATAGTCCCAAAATGATTAAGCCTGTAAGTGGTAACATAAAAGAACCATATCACAAAATAGAACAGAGCTTACAGCCATACTTACAGCCTAATTATTATTCATTTCTTAGCCAAAACTGTACACCAAATGTTGTCACTGCAATACAGAGAACAAACTGCTCCCTGGAATGTTTGAGCTGACCGTCTCTCGTAGTAATGTTCCTGTCATTTCACAAATGTAATATTACAGTTTTGTCAGAGCAAGACTGATTTTCTTGTCCTCTCAATGAAGTCTTATTGCAGTACAATACTCTTCTTATCCTGCTTTTCGTAGTTTATATTGGATTTTAATGGTTCCAACTTTTGTTATTTATTGTCAGTAATTAATGACATAAACAGGACTGTGCAAGTACCTAAATGTAGGTGCTTCAGTCATGTGATGTACTTCACTTTTCATTCTGCAACAAATGCATTTTGCAAAGCACACAGATATGCCTTATTGCTTGAAAAAAAGCTCTGCTTACTCTCATCACTGGACAGGTGAAACTTTTGTCTTGTTTTCTTCAGGAACGTATTTTTCCTGAGTTAGCTTTCCTTTTCTTTCTTCTCTCATTTTTTTCTCTCAGTCCTCCTTCATTGCCAGTTAACACAGCAGTTTTTCACTTCAGGTTTCCTGTAGCCCACCTGTCCAAATAAGTTCATTCTACCCAGTTTCCAGATCTTCTTTATGTCTACTCCCATTCCACCTTTCCTCTCCTGAGCCTCTCAGTCTCATGCAGCCCATTCCTTTCCTGTCCAAGCTCTGACGTGGGGTGAGAGCTGCCCATTTCTGTAGTGGGGCAGCAATTCTGGCAGTAAAGAAGGGGGAAGGAAAGTGCAAAGGCACACACATGCCCCAAGCCCCTCCACCCTTCTCTTTCATGCTAGAACCAATGAAAGCCCCAGAAAGATCTAGACTGTGGATTTGGAGTGAGTCTGTTTTTCTCTGAAAAACAAGTGGAGGCTGCTATGTTAAGTAGCAATATAGCCTGACTGAGAGGAGGGGCATCATGATAAAAGTTCTCTCTCTTGCAGTCTGACGAATGGTCTCTGAAGAGCTGCCATTGTCTATGGAATATTACCCAAACTTTGGATTAAAAACAGTATTTGCAAAATAGAATTGCGATTCTAGAAGATCAAGATTAATGGAGGAGAAAAGCACAGCCTGGAATCTAGACTTCTGTAAAATAGATGATGGCAACATTTCTGAAACAGGTAAGAGAAAAATTGATTAAGTATTCATCCCACCTGTATTCTCCACAGTAGCATTTTTTTTTTTGTACTTACTTACTACATTCTGATTAGTACATACAAACGTATACATTTCATATTATTCAAAGTGTTTTTTAATAACTATTGTCTTTGGTAGGCAATTTTTTAAACCTTAACTATCCCTTTACTGTAGTTTGTTTGCTATATGGGCTTTCGTTAATTCTCAAGTAAATGAACATCATTTCTTAATGAAAGAAAGAGTGGCTTAATCACAGTATAGACTGAGTCATTAGGAAGAAAGGAACTGAGTATTATTAGCACAACATACTCACCTAACTGGCAGAAAACTTGCCATTGTCTGATACAAAAAAAAAAAAAAAAAGGCACCCCTGAAACTTATTACAGCACATATGCAGATCTACTGGGCATCAGCATAGCTCCAATGGTCTCAGGATACAGCAGGGCACGGTGATGATGTCTATGCACATACAGTGAAACTGGGTTTTCCTTGTAGAGAATTCCTTACATTCTCCTAACAGGAGGTGTTACTACAGCACTGAGAGTCAAACTGCTTGTGCCCTTCTCTTGCTTATTACATTATCTTGGAAAACATTCTTTTTTAATTTGAACCTCTTTGACCGTGTCCATCCTATTTGATAGATTGTAAGTCATTCACCCCAACTGCAATGCATAGTGTTTCAAAAATCCAGTCTTGATTATGGCCTCTAAGCTCTATATAATAGAATGAATAAATAAGAAACAGTGAGAATATTTTAGAAAATCCAAATATGAACACCTGATCCAACCAAAATGGATCAGGTGGCACAGCTGTCTCTCCAATTAAGACTGACTTACTCTCCTCAAGTATCTCTGGAAGATACTGACCTCTCTCTCTCAAGTTCTTTCAGGAGCTTGATGGTATCAGGAATCCCTGGCATTTCAGTTGCCTTCTGCAGCTACAGACATGTTTTTTGCAGCCAGTTTAGGGTTTATTTGTTCTACCACCATAATTAGAATCAAGTGCTTACTGCCTTTATTCATAATTATTTAAAAGGAGGGCAGAGAAGTAGGAAATACAATTTAATTCAAAGTACAAGTGAGATTTAACCAACATGATTGTAGGAGAACATAACTTTCCTAAACATATTAAAACTCCTTTTAACTGAATACATTGTAAAGCAAATGTTACTTAATGGTAATGTACTTATTAGGGTGGCTACATTTTAAAGAATTTATGTGTTCATCTTATGAACTTTGGTTGAAGAAGAACATTATACAAAATTTGATATCTATAAAGGCCATGGAGAAGTGTAGAGAAAGAATACCGTTACCCCAGGTTAAAGCACAGTGCTTCAGTACTTAACAATATACATTTAAATAACAATAACAAAATTTTTTTAACATATTTAACAAAAAATAAATATTTCCAATCTTTTAAAAACACCAGAAGTTGACCACATGGCTTTCAACCTTTCTGGAAAGTCATTTGACTGCTTTTGTTTCTGAACTTCTACAGAAATAACTTTCCTTCATAATTTTATTCAGTACAGTTTGAACTAACTTTTCATAAGTACATTATCTGGGTGAGCCATAAATTTGTAAAGCAAAATAATGCAGTTTCTAATTAGCAGCCCATAGCTCTTACTTGTTATGTTCTGAGCTATGTCTGTGGACATACCTTTGGAAAAGTAATATTAAGGAAGGTACGAAAGCAGAACATCATGTTCCAAAAAAGCACTACTATCAACCTAACAGTTAAAGTTTGAAAATTATCAAGGAATCAATAACATTATGGAAAAGAGCTCTTCCTTCTATGTAAAGTGAGTAAATGCTGAGTAAAATTTTATCTTACTATCCTATCAAGTGCTGTAGTAGATTGTGATTTCTAAATGGCTGTTTTTATGACCCTCATACAAAGTTCCAACTTGGACAGACCTTACAAATTAAAATAGAATCACTGAGTCACGGAATCATTGAATCAAAGAATGGCTTGGGTTCAAATGGGACCTTAAAGACCATCTAGTTCCAATCCCTTGTTGTCAGCAGGGCTGCCATCCATCCGATCAGGCTGCCCAGAGCCCCATCCAACCTGGCTCTGAATGCCTCCAGGGATGAGGCATCTACAGCCTCTCTGGGCAATCTGTTCTCTTTTATCATTTGGAGAGAGGTTCCAGAAACATGACAGTGAATTTGGCGACAGTTCACCCTGGTAAAACACTCCAGCCT